TTTTTTTAAATATATACATGCATGTGTGTGTATTTACAGTATATATAGGCCTACATAATAAATATACACAGCACACATACATATATTTTGTAAACAAAAACTTTTATTTTGGATGCGATTAATCGCGATTAATCGTTTGACAGCACAAAATAATAAAATAAAATAAAATAAAAGTAAGGGATTGTTTTGGGTTTTGTTGGTGTTCATGTCTTTTGCTTTGTATTCATGCTTTTAGTTTAGTTTCCTGGTTTGTCATGTGTTCCTTGCCCCCCATGTGATTATGTCATGTGCTACCCTTGTCTGTGTGTTATGTTCTAATTGGTTCTTTGGTTCATGTGTCATGTTCTCATTAGGCTTGTTCGACTTCATGCGACACATTCAAAGACGCAAAGACCGGCTGACGCCTGACAAAAGCGATAACCAGGCAGCCTCAGCAAAATTCAGAGAAACCACAAGACAACTTTTAATTAAAATAGGCCTAGTTGATAGTGTTATATTAAAATAAAAATGTAAACTGACATCATATTTCTCACTCAAATGAAAATGCATCACTGATCTCTGAATTTCTCTCACACAATAGAGGTCTTTTTTAAATTTATGAACTATAATAATATATATTTTTTGGAAATTAGAAATAATAATAAAATAAAATCGTTACTTATTAAATAATAAAAATATTCATGCATAATTTATTTATAAAAACATTTTATTTTATTTATCTTTATTTTATTATTTATTTGTAATTTTCATGGTTAATTTCTTATGGCAGCACAGCTCACTAAAATTAAAAAAATTTAAACGTAGCTCGCTGGAAATTATAAATATGAATAAAATAAAAATAAAACAAAACATTTATTTAATAAATAATACAAATGTGTACATATATATTTTAATAATTTATATATTTAAAAACATAATTAATTATATATAATTTTCCTATTTCTCTGGACAATGTTATATGAAGCACCATTACTTCAAACGAGTTATACTTGAAGCCCGAAGCCTTGATGACGACACACTTTATTCTCATTGGTCAGATTCTGTGATGACAAGCACGATGTGTGTTGCGTGCTTATTCTAACAATTCAATTCCAATAATGCTCACAAATGTATAATAGTAAAAGCTTTTTTAGTGTAATCGCACTGTTATATTGAGTAAGGTTTATCAAAAAAAACTAACAAACAGATAAATGCATATATACCCCCACTTTATTGGTATTTAAATAGTATATGTTTATGTTGAACTTTACCCTCACTGTTTGATATAAATAGCCCTCATGTTGCCTTTGTTCTTTGTTTAGCAAAGTAACTGTGTTTTGTACTGTGTAACCTGCTGTCGGTGAGTTGTGTTTCTGTTTATGCTAAGTCTGTTTCTGGTCAAGTCTGTTCATGCCATGCCATGCCAAGTCAAGTCTGTTCCAAGTCAAGTTTCAAATAATTGTATTTTATAATATATTAATATTATAATAATAAACATAATATTTTTAAATACATATTTAATATTTAAATAATACATTAAAAACATTTATGTGTATATACAAAAAAATACATATTTTATATACATTTATCAAATTAATAAAAAATTACAGTTTATGTATATATTTATGTGTGTAGCCTATATGTATGTAAGCTCAACAATTAGGAGTGAGTAGTCACTTTCCGTTTGTATTCATATGAATTCAAGTCAAAGAAACACAAAGTTTAGGCTTATGATACACAGGGAAACTTTTTGATCAATGTTGCCGTCAACGGGCAACCAGGTGAGACACAGGGCCTACGATGAAATAAATTATGCAAAAATAAATTTTATACCCACTCTCAATGGGAAAGTGCCGAAGCAACATTGTAAAAAAAAAAAAAAAAGTTGCCCCGTGTATCATCAGCCTTAGTGTGACTTCAGCTTTAACCGCTACACCAAACCACCAATACACAGCTTAGGCTGTATATCTAACGGCTGATGTAGGCCTAGAATTAGCTATAATTTCCATGGCAGTAAAACTGATCCTAAATAATCAAGCCCAGAGCCTGACAGATCTGAATCCAACACCAACGGCTCCTGAAGCCGCCTGATGCCGGCAGAGCGAGGTTTTGAGGTTAGTTCGGGTGACGGAGCGGCCCGGTCTGCGCTGACGTCACACATGGAATCGCCATCACGTTTGCCGCCGTTTCATTTCGGTGGGCCTTTGAAGACGCCGTACACCTCGACGAACGACATTTGAGGGTGAATGGACGATATTGTAAGCAGGGCTTTTAATGTTCACTTGTAAACGGAGTAACTGGAGATCCCGCGTGCCAAAAAACGCGCAATATTTGTTCGTTTCAGAAACTCCTGCTTGTGTGGTGGATCCGTTTAAGAGAGTCAGTAAATTATAAAGTTATAGGAGATGCGGTGAGGGAGCGCGGCTCCGGAGCTTATTTACATTCTCAATAAAGCAGAGCGAGAAACTTCAGCTATAATACTGTTATTTATCCATCTGCAGTCGAGTCAATAAAGCGAGCGTGCGGTTGGGAGCGTCGATGTTATATGTGTTTGTTCTTTATTGGCTGATCTTTTGTACTGGATTTATGAGAGCAAATGACTGAATAATAAAGGTATAAAATTTTGAAGCGGTGGCACAGAAATTGTGTCGTCGCCAGATGCAAATCGAATCACTCCTTTTTTTCAATATGTGAAGTGCTGCAGTAAACGTACACACTGGGTTTGTGTGAATAAGTGACAGCTTTCTGCTTTGATCTGGGAAACACCATCAGAAACTGTAAAATATCTCTATATAGATGCTCTTGAAGTCCACAGTGACTTAACTGGATGAATCTGACATCATTTCTCAGGAAACTTCTGACTTCAAAATGATCTTTGAGCACTAAGCAGTACCCTAATAGGTTGGTCTCCATAACCCTGGCTGAAAAAAAGAAGATTAAACCAGTCTAAGCTGGTCTTCCAATCTGGTCAGGCTGAAATATTGGTGGTTTTAAACAGATTTTCAACAATTATCAGGCTGGAAGATCAGCTATTCTTTAAATAAATACATACATACATAGAAATAAATAAATAAGATGAATAATTTCTATAATTATATTTATAAATATAATTTTTATTATGAATTTATTTTATTATAATTAAAAAAACATTTTTTTTATTTTTTTATTTTCATTTATTTATTTTAAATTGCATTATTATTATTTAAATAATAATAATAATAATAATAATAAATATTAATATAAGAGATATTATAAAAATATAATATTATAGATATTTTTTCTTTAATAATATAAGTAAGCAAACAAATGGAGGTGAAGTATCTTTCATCAAGTTGTATCAATTCAAAATAATTATTCAAAACCTGCCATTACTGCTTTTTAATATATAAATTATTTTTTATATAAATAATAACATAAATACATAATAATTCACAAACAAACAAATAACGGTGAAGTACCTTTCATTTGAAGTTTTATTAATCAAAAAGTATTATCCACAAATGGCAATATCACATTACTATTTAATATTATAAATTATTTTACAATACAAACGAGATATTAAACAAACAAACAAATAAAGAATGTCCTTTTCATTTGTGCATTAATGAATCAAGCATTTTATTCACTGAATTATGCAAAAATACTTATGGGCTTTTTAGATATCAAAATTATTATTTT